CRTTTACAAAGACAAAACTACAACAGAAAAACACAGTACTGCCATCAAAATCACGAAAATTAAGTGATTTTTAATGACTCTTCACGAGTAACCTTAAAATTTCTGTGGATCACAAATTTTGTCAAAAGTTACCTTAATTCGAGAAAAAAAACGTAAAAAAAAATTGTGTAAAGAGTTTTCAATTAGCCAGCTCTAATATCCGCATCACTGATTAAATAGCTCACTCAATTCCACACGACCTTGATTCCAATTTCTTCTCCCCAAGTTCTCGTTACAGTTTCAACTTTCGCCACGGCTATATCTTTAATGTCGCGTACCAATATCAATGGACATATGTTTGTGATATAAAACATCCGAAGAACGTTGTACGATTTCTTCCCTTACCTAATTCTACCAACACTTTATGCGTGGCAAATTTTCCCACTATGTGTTAAGTTGCAACTTTTCCTGTTTTCTTAACAAATAATGTTTTTCAGTGAGGCCGCGTTATTTTTCATTCGTTTCAAATTAAATCATTTCTCTCTTGTAAACTTGCTTTTATTGAACAGCAATTTTTCCTTTAATTCCTGTTAATTCACCTGTCGAATAGCTGCGTTTACTGCAATACTTTATACCAGCGTTGACTTTCCATTTTAAGGTAGTTTTCCTCATTCTTCCGTGAATTCAAGACCGGTTCTCCCTAAGCCCTCCTTGACGCGTGCGAATAGAGAAGACGTTCATAAGCATACTCCCTCTTAGATTCTAACAATCTCTAAACACAAAAATTTATCACAGTCAGCGGTTCAGAATATACTTTTGATTCGAACCTTTTTAATTGCTATTGCTATAATTTTTCCTACGATAGAGTGATGTGGTTAGCTTCCTCTCAATCTGTCATGAAGAGTTGGACCGGCAGAGTTGTAACTGCTATTCTGATTGTAACAGTGACGTCACGTTCGCCTTCCAAAGGTTAGTTTAAGAAGACTGAATGAGGAAAAAAAAAAACAACAACAACTTACGTTAATTTTGCGAGTTGTAGCGCTACCATTATTGTGAACAGTAAATCGTATTATAGCAATTACTTCGTGTTGTTAAGTACTGACCAGGCTGAGCTAAGTTTAAAATGTGTCGCACAGTGAATAATTTACTTTGTCCGGCTATTTTCCAATCTTAAAAAGATCAGTTATTCCCATACTTCTTATGTAAAAGATACCATTCTTGCATCAGTTGTGATGCTAGTAGATAAATTACCCTTAACGGAATCAAACGCATTCAGAGTAACCCTAAAATTTCGGCCAACATTCAGTGTATTTTTTATTTGCAAGTACTTTCCCTGGGTCCGGCGTCTATCGCCGGGGCATCTGTAGCTAAGTTGAAATTGCAATGCGTTTTTATAGAGTGACTTCTAATTCACGGCGTAATCAGTTATAAACGGTAGGTTCAGTTCTAGTGAAACTTCAGCCGTGCTGTGTCGGTGGGAGGTATTACAAGGTAATTTAATCAACTAAATTGATAATTTAAATTGGCCGCCGTAAGAGTTTCTAAAGATGACATTTCGAGCGTAAGCTCTTCCTCGGAGCGAATGGCGAGGGACTAATGCTCGAAACTTTAGCTTTAGAAACTCTTTATAGTGGCCAGATTTACTTTATCAATTCAGTTGATAAAAACCTAAGGATGAGTTTTTACTTGTTAATGTGTATTTATTGCGCCTTATGAAATCGAGATTTATTTTTTGGCACGTTATAGTAATTTTAATGAAAAATGTTTGTAGTCGTAAATGAGATTTTTTTGTACATGATAGCGTAAAGCCAAATTAAAAAGCCCATCACCTTATTAAATAAAGAAGAAAAAACAAAACTGACCGTGCAACCATTTACATACAAAAGAAAAGTTTCTAAGTGGCTTGCGTAGTTGAAAAAATTTTGACAGCTAAATAAATATTTTTGCTGAGCATTATGTATTCTGAGAACTTTACCGGTAGACTGCATTTTATCAAGGCGTACCGTGGAGCAAAGAAGGTTGTGAAGAATGATGGAGAAGATTACTTTTCTACTTTTGACTATTTTTATCCTGAACGCTTTTGGAAAAGGTAAACAATTTCGTAATCTTAAAAAATAACGACAATTTTGATAAATTAATTGGTGCTATTAAAAAACAATTTTTGAAGTTTCCCTTAACGATTCGACTTCGCTCTAAGGCTCTCAATGAATTGAATATGAGATGGTTCCGTTTTTATTTCTCGAATTGACTGGAGCCTAAACTTAAAAATGCAGAAATGAAACAAAGTACGGAAATTAAGACTTGCAAAAACTTCTCACAGACATATTTTCCTATCTTAAAACAAACCAGCTCTTGCCGGCATTAATGGATGAAATCATTAATTCAAAGAACTGTTCTTATTTTCAAATTAAAAAGCAGTAAGTCGCTTATTTCAAGTCTGTCATTACAGAACTCAGATAACCTGATTGCATCATTTTCAAAGATCTGCTATGGATGGTATGCTAGAGAATTATGTGCGAGGAAGAAATAGGCCTTACTGAACTTTTTTCTTTAATTTCGAGTGAACAGCTTTTTCGTTGAGCTTGTTTCTGTGGGATGTTTGTATAAATGATGTTGAAAACTAAATATAGGCAGGTTTTTAGGAGATTCTCAAGCATTTCAGCTTGAAGTCAAAATTTACATATTCATTTTTGTGAAGGGAAAAGTTTTAATTTGTTACCTGAAGACGATCTGCTGTACATGGCGGTTTCGACGTACTATCGACATACACCTCGATCTTTTCTTTCTTTACAACGAAACACAATTACCTACAACTTAAGCTAAAAAGACAAGACTACAAAGATATCATGCTTAACACAGTAACTGAAGTAAATAGCAGCCCATCTGTGTGGAGACAGCCGTCAACGCTAGCATTTTTCGTCGAGACATCAATTGTCACCCATTTCAGCCATTGTAGAAATGAAACAATTGCTAAATGAAGTAAGAAGTCAATATTTCCTTTTGATTTAAAACAAAACTTTGTCAACTGAGCCAGTTCACACTTGGAACTCACAATGCTGGTTAAAATAGAATGTTCACCTTGCAAAAATACTGAAATTAAAGGTTTGATTTCTGTCATTTTAAAGACTCACATTGTGCAAACGGTTTTTGTATTTAAGCCAGGATTCTTTTGTTAGAATCATTCGGATCACCCAAACCATCCCGAGAATACCCAAGCGATAGGGCAGATTATGTGGAATTGAATATAAACAAATCCATACATTGAATGACAATGCAACCCGGTCGAATAGGACGAACAGGATTAAAACGAGTGAGTTGTGGTTAGGCCGGGGGCTTGTTCAAAGTCTGTTGGTTCCTTTCCCCAAAGAGGTGTATTTCATTTGATGTGTCGAGCTTAACTTAACTTGGCTTAGATCGAGATATAAGTAGTTTTTAAATCAAGACAATGATTATATCAGGAAACGAAAAAGAATCTAACAAACAGGAGTTTTACCTAACCATCTCGATACCACGCCTTCGATAAGAATGATGATATGACTGTGGACCCGTTAAGTCTCCAAGATGTTCAACAGTAAAGTAAAGTCTTAAGCACTCTAAACAACAAACGTGTTTTAGTTACAATGATAAGGTTGAGATCGAACGTCAGCATTATCAAGCGCCTCTGGCAGCCGCTTCAGTCCATGTAACAGACCGACCTTAGCCTACGAACAAGCTCTCGTTTACACCAAGACCCTAGCGGCGATCCAAGTGACCCTGCATCACGATGAGACGGAAATTAATATAGGTATGCAGTGTGTACGCATGTCTACCCCTAGGATCTATGTGATTTTTGTGGTCGGTACGTTCAGAACTTTCGCGGTTTCGACGGGATCTATCGACTTTATGATTTCCTTTCCCTTTCCTTGCTGCTTTTATTCCCCCAAGACATGAGATTATATTTTGTTTCCCAAGACTATTTAAGAACGTCTACGTTATCTATTCATTTCAATATCTCGACACCTTAGTAAAATATATCTCCGCAAAGAAAGTTCGTATCTAAATATGTCCTTAATTAAGAAAGGACACTATGCCGACAGTGCAAATAAGAACGTTCCCAGGATGCAAACGTTTCAACATCACACCTATACGGTGCGTCCTTTCAATCAGTGAAACTCTCTTACAATGAAAAATTCGAGAAGTCTAGATAAAATTAAAAACTTTTTGACGAAGTTTATTAAGGTAAATTACGACTAGAAGTTTATTTTAATGTTTCAATCCATAAACAGCATCGTGTAGTTACTGGAGCATTTTCCCCATACTAATTAGCAGCTGCATTTTCTCAGTGCAATTAGAGAATTCATTTTGAACGCGCCTTAAGGGACTAATGAGTTTAATATTCACAGCTTGAGCACAGTTTTCTAAAAGACAAAGTTCGAAGTTCACACGTTGGGAGCAAAGTAAACCTTTTAATAAGGTTCACCTTTCTAGAAGAGGAATCTGATCACAAGTTTGCTTCACTCCCAACGTATGGCTTAGTAGCTCAGGTGGTAGTAGTGTCCAAATGATATCTGAGGGGCACGAAATTGAATCGAACTTTTTCAAGCTTCTTAAGTTGCAGCACACCCGTGAGTGCGAGGATCATTGCTTTACTTGACCAATTCAGTTTGGTCACAATCCGATCCATGAACGGCACAATCGCAGTTGCTATAGGTAGCGAGTCGTCGTATAGTTTACTGTTGTTTTGGCATTGTGAAAGATTCTCGATAAACTATCCGCTATCGACAACGTGACAAACCCACAGGCACTTTGGACAAAGACCTGCGAGTGCAGCTGCAGTAGACAGAAAATGCTACATCATCTGGTAGGAACCTAGCGTTAACGAAGTGGGCTAGCTACTGAGATTTGCAAAAAAAAAAAAAGCCCGTGTTTACAGCTAGGCCTACTCTGGGGCCTTAGGTCGCCGTAACTTTGGGCGATTTAAGGCGACTTACGGCGACTTAAGGCGACTTAAGGCAACTTAGGCTACTTAAAATGATTTTATTTGACTGAAGTGATAAAATCAAAATTGGCGTAATTATTTATGGAACCCTTATAACATTGCGTAACCAATAGCAACTTAAGGCAACTTAAGACAACTTAAGGCGACTTAAGGCAACTTAAGGCAACTTAAGGTCCCAGAGTAGGCCTAAAACTGAGATGTCTAAGAAGTTGATGTACCGCAGAATCTTACTTACAATTTGATTCTTTCAACGTCGTAGCGAAGTTAACTATGATGGGGGAGTTTTTTTAAGGCCAAAATACTGAAAAAGATTTGGGCATGGTTGAAAGAGTGAGAAGCTAGGAAATAAATTGAATAATAAACTAGTATCAAATTACGTTTACTTTATTTTGCAGATGACGTGCAGATCAGCTCAGAAGATGCTAACAGCTTTATGATAGCAAAGTCGCGTGTGCCAAGAGGCATTTATCACGAATGTTATGAGGAGGGATGTGATTTTGAGGAGGTTGAAGAAGTGTTCGGTGCCTCACAAAAGGGGGTATGTCTTATATCATAATGACAACTTTCCAGAGATGAGACCTAATAGAGTTTTTGGACGAAACGTTGTGTAAGTACTATGCAAGCTTAAACCACACCATTTCCAGAGTTTTCCAGGAAAAGCGGTTTCATCGGATGATGACCATAATCTGAACTGTAGATTCTTGGACGTCAATCACAAATTAGAGTTCATCTCGTGAAATGCATGTTTCTTTCTTTTTCAGTATGAATATTATTACACCTACACATGCCATAAATTTGGAAAAAACTGCAAAGGTTCGTGTTTGTTTTGAAGTCGGTTTATTATATAGATGGCAACGCCCGCGGGCAAGATGAAGCGAATCTTGTGTTTTGATTGGCTACCCGAGTAGGCAAGATGGGCCCATCTTGCCCGTTCGGGGCTGCCAGCCCTGATCCTGCTCAAGAAAAAAAAGGGCGTGGAGCGAACTTACAGAGTTCGTAGCTTTTGGACAATGTTGGCAACGGAGTCGCAAAAAGCGAAAGAAAAAAGAAAAAATTAAGACAAAGAAAAAATTGAACCGACGACCCTCTTAGGTTTATTGTGCTACAAACACAGTTTTCTTTCTCGGCTCTCGAAATAAATAAGGTATTCTTGATTATTATCAAGGGGAAGTCTTGTTTCTATATAATAAATCATTTATTGACCAAGCGTGAGGCTAAGGTGGCCTGATACCAGCCTCGCTCTTCTTTTTCGGCCGGTTTTATGGACCTCTCCTTCGTCTCGGTCCATAAAAAACGCAAAAACCTCGGCCAATATCCCGCTATCGAAACCGCACGCTAGGTCAATTACGCATATATCTTATAGACACTCTTTCCGCTTGCGCAAATTTTCCATATAGTGGTTATAGTTTTGGCATGAGATGGGGTGGGAATCAAGTACCTTGTTTTTCCCGAGAGATTAGAAGGGCTGTGGATTCTGGGTCTTAAGTCCTCATCAGGGAATATAAAATCACTATTCTGAGCCTTTAACTAGGCGTTTTTAAGGACCGGACATCTTGACTCAGGTATGAAAACTGGGGCAGCACTGTCTTCCTATAAAGCATTCTTAATTTCTTGATCTAAATCTCATCATTTATTTATACATGGATCCAAGTTGTTTTAGGTCACAATCTACATATTCTGATGAAGCTCAAAACGGGTCTCCGATTGAACAGATTTTTCTAAAACAGAGCCATAGTTTCATAAACGAGGTAACTTTACCCAAAAATGTCTTAAGTAAATCCTCCACCTCCCTTGTCCTGGTAGAAAGTTATAACTCATGCACGAAATCGTTTGATTCACTTCACAGTACCGTGCACTTTCAGAGAAGACTGTACTTTTGGAAACTGGGGAACCTGGCGAGGAGAGGTAAATGCTCAGCAACCCGGATGTTACCAGCAGATAAGATCCAAACCATACAACCATCCACTTCAAACTCAATATCGACGCTTCAGCTGTGGTGGACTCAACATTTGGTGTCCTCCTTCACCGGTTGAGAAGCGACAGCAATGTAAGTTATGATTACCGATTTTACATATATGTCATCTTATTCTTACAGGAAAATCATCCCGGACACGATGATCATCGTTTTATTTTATTTTATTTTTGTTTTACCAAAACTAATGAAGTAAAAGTTTGTACTATTTATAATCACGGTCCTATCAATTGTCATCACTGTAAAAGTTCTCATCCGCACCTTTTCTCTGATGAGACACCCCCTAAGAAGATTCGTGCATTTGCTGAGAATTTTAAGGTAAGTGGCTAAGCTAGTAGGCTGACGAGTTCCTACCCACTCCTCCCAACTCCCACATCTCCCTCAACAAAGACTCCAGAATCGTAGTTCATTTGAATTTGGTCTAGCCCTTTGACATCAAAATGTTCTTATATCTTTAAGGCTGTACAATTTTTCCTTTCAAAAATATTACAGGTTTTCTAACCTGCATACTAAAGAATACTAAAGATATTTTTTCCCCACCGGGTTGGATGACTTTCAAACGACAAAAAATAACGCGGCCTATTTTGGAGGAGGGGGAATTATATGATTAGGGAATGTTACCGAGAGTATACTTTTTCCCCGTTGCCTGGATCCGTTTTGTGCGCGTAGTATAAATTAACTGACTCTGATTCCGCTTCGTCTTTTTTCTACGACTTAAGATTGCAATACACTGATGATCTAATGATGTTAATTACCGATTTTAGTTTGTCTCTTTGCTCAAAAGGCCAAGAAAAGGGCCGCCATTTCCTTCGTCTATTTTTGAAAAGAGTATGATGTGTCGCAATAATCGTTGTGGTTGGGTTCAATTGGTTTTACTTATTTTGGCCTGTTTTAATCTAGGTGTATGTCGAAAGGCCAATTGCCAGCATGGATCTTGGGAGGCGTGGACTGGCAACATAACAGAGGGAAGTTGTGGGATGCAGAACAGAATCAGACCGTATACTTTGACGTTGTCGTTGGAGCAACAAACTGAGTCTTGTAACTCCGTACCAACCAAGTGTCCTCTTGCAGAGACGGACTATCGAAAGATGTGTAAGTGCCAAAAGTAACTTATCTCTTTGCATTCTGATGGTCTGTGGACAACTGACTGACCGACTGACTTATTTACCTATCCACCTGGCACTTTACTGTCTTACAAACAATTAAACGCCTCATAACTTTACCGGCTAAAGTGGATATTTTCCTCCGAAAAATGCAACTTGACGAAGTGAATCTGAGTTCTTGAAATCGTAACATACATTTGCGCTACGTTTTCCCTGTTCGATTTACACAACAAAATGAGTTTGTGGCCACATAAACTTTGCAGGCAGCTGTCCCAAAGCGGATTGTGCGTGGGAAGACTGGAGCGAGTGGAAAGGCTCTGTCGCACAGGGAACCTGTGGTCAGCAGAATCGAACAAGAGGGTATACCAAGTCAATTGTTTATGAGCAACATGTAAACCAATGTCCAGGCAATCTCCCTCAGGAGTGCCCATAGGCCCTCGAAGAAACCCGTACAAATTGTAAGTAGCCAATCGTACAGTTTCAGTGTTTTGATAAACAGTCAGTGTAAACTGCCACTAGACCAGCAAACAAGCCAATGAGTCAGACCTTGAAAAAAAATGGACTTATAACGATTATTAATTTTTTTAAAACAGGTAGCTGTAAATATGCCACCTGCTCTCTTGGCAATTGGTCAGAGTGGGAACCAAAGGAGCTCCAAGAAGGTCAATGTGGTCAGAAACAGACGAGAAGGAAGACATACACCCTGACCTTTAAATATCAGAAGCATGCTGACAAGTGTCCACCCCTGCCACAATCTTGCCCGGACGACATCGTCGACAAAAGAATGCAATGTAAGTTTCCGTATGGTCACTGACCAAGTAAGCCACACCCTTGAAGACAATTTTTCATAAAAACTCTCGAAATTTAGAACCATGTGATGTTGTTTTACTGTGTAAGAAGCTTCCCCCTTTCGGAATCAATCGCACGATGTGGCTATATTCAATTGAGGTTAAAAAAATGACATACTTAATACCAACAGAAAAAGAAACCTGTTGACTAAAAATCGTTTTTGTAAACGTATAATAAATGAAAGGGTCATCTTAAAAATTAAAAAAAAAAAAGAACATGGCTACGATTCTTCTGGCTAATGAGGAAAATGAACTCAGTGGGAAGTGATACCCAATAGTTAACTATGAGGTGTGAGGCACAGGCTCATGGCCCGTTTAGGCCTGAATTCCTTTCCATACTTTTTAATTACAATTCTGATCACTAATTGTGCATTGTCATTTTTTAACTTAATTATCAAAAGGTAAATGCAGATACAGAGACTCGTGCGATCTCAAACCTTGGGGTGAATGGGAAAACCCGATAACAGAAGAAGGGTGTGAATTGCAGACGAGGACACGCGGTTATGTTCATCCATTGAAACACTCGCTGCAGCAAGACTGCAGAGGCTTGTTGACGTCTTGTGTAACAGATCCAAAGGAGAGCAGGACATTTTGTAAGTAAGATGGAAATTGATTTAATTAAAGTTATGGTAATGAATGAATGAAGAAGTGAACGAATGAATAAATGAATGTAAGAAAAAGTATCAAATGAACATGGGCGGAACACGTTTCAGTTTCTACATTTAGACTTCTAAAAGGTGCCTTAAAGCTAGAAATTATACCAAAGCGCATGATTTTTAACCCCTAATATTAGGTAAATGCAAGCACGTGGAATGTGATCTCGGCGAGTGGTCTGATTGGAGCGGTCCTTCTTTGGCCCCAGAGCAATGTGGGAAGGAGAAACGAACGAGGGAGTACGTTGCTAGAGAAAAGTTCAGTTCTGGAGAGACTTGTGATGGACTTGTCACTTCTTGCCCAGCCGCGAAAGATGAAACAAGGACAACGTGTAAGTGTATAGTTTTCGTGAAAGTAAATTTGTCTACTTGGTAGACGAATGGTATTTGTTGTCAAAATTTAGCACATACCACATGTTTGAAACTTGAATCTGAAATATATAAATTCTATTTCATATAGTCTATCAGGCACTCGCACCGTTAAAAGATATGTGAAAGGAAGAATAAGTCTCATTAACCATGAAAATCAACTAATCAAAAATAATATTTTTCTCCCCTTGATCCTATTTATCCATCACTTACAACTTACTGATTTATCTATCAAAGAACTGATCGGCTGATTGGTTATATATAAATTATTTACTAATCGTTGATAAACTTGTGTAAAACGACTGTCCCTTTGAAAGGTAAAAATACAGGGCTAGGGTTTCTTTCTCCTTTCTAATATGCTGTGGTTTATGTTTAAATGTTGTTTTGACCTCAGGCAAATGTGGATATGTTACTTGTAACATCAGCGATTGGAATCCTTGGAAAGGTGAATTACCGAAAGACGGATGTGCACAACAAGTGAGAACAAAAGATGTCACCACGACACAACGCGAAATTTTCCAAGCAGAAAACTGTCAAGGACTTCAGACGAGCTGCCCCGATGTGCCACCAGAGACAAGGACGTGGTGTAAGGACCTACATTTCTTACTTATATAAAGGCTGTCGGGATCTACTGGTTGGATTAAACTGTATCCTTGAAGGTGTCGTTTGGACGTCTCTCGTATCAGGTCAACCACTTTCCCCTACTTAAAAAAAGAAATGACGCATGAGAAGTGACCACGGCATGAATTGTAAACCTGATATAGCATACTGAGTTCCAACTAGAACGAGCTAAAATCGTAAGGAGAAGTTTTTACTTCATGTATGGTGAAAACCTGAAAAGAGTTTTAGCTGACAGCGTAGAGTTACCATCAAATTGACTGAAAAAAAATTAGACAAAATAAAATACATTTTTGTAAAGTGTCACAGAGAGATTTAGACACTCAGCAAAAGAGAATGACGGATGGTAGGATGGAATGAACAATCAAAAAGCAAACTACCTTTTTCGCCTCAGTTTCCAACCGGTTGTCTACCTCAGTCAAACAAGTTATGAGGTTTCAAGTTTTGTAGTCCTTGAAAAATTCAGGGATATCTTTTCCTTATGCAAGAGGCAATTTTTTCATTCCCAATCCTCTTTCCACTGTGATATTCTTCGTTGTTGCCAAGCTAATATATTACGGTTTCCTTCACGTTTACCGTAGTTTTGCATGTCCCAGCAAATGATTTAAAAATGTTATGACTTCTACAAATTTGTGCTTGTAGGTAATTGTTCCTTTAGAGAAGACTGCGTACTGAAAGAGTGGAGTGCTTGGTCAGAGAAGATTCCGGACGTGGGATGTGCTGTACAAATTCGAAAACGTGACTTTAACAAATCACTTGAATGGATTGAAAGAGGAACATGCGATGGTTTGGAATCGTGTCGCGCAATTCGAGAGGAGACTAGGACCGAATGTAAGTCGATCGTGAAAAATCTTGTTAAAACTTAAACTCCTAAGAGTGATCCTGACAAAATTTCACCTTGCAATATAAATACAATATCAAGCAGACATATAAGAAAAGTAAGAAAAACATCCATTAGGGGAATATTAGTTGAACCAATACCAAATTCTCAGAAATAACATAAATTGGAAATGTATGGCAGGCGGTAAGGAGTAATATATAGATTTAGCCAAGCCTAAAAGCGGAGCTCGCATTTTTCATAAGTCCAATTTTTTTTCGGCATGATGGGTTACTACTACCGTTTTGAATAATTATGGGGCTTCGCTGCGCGCGCTGCGAGCTCCGCTATTACTAATGAGATTTTGGGAGTGAAAAGGTAACACTCTTTCGTTTCTACTTCACTCTTTCGGTGTGGAGACAGCGTAAATCAAAGAAATAAAATTTTACAGACTTAAAAGGAAACATACACTTGATATAAGATGCAATTAAAAGGTAAAATAAAAGTTTTAAAAATTAGCAAAAGTCATTTAAATTCGTCAATTGATTAATCATTGAACGGTAAGGCGAGTGTAGAAGCACAAACTCTGCAAACTTTAGGGTCATCTTCATCAGTCCACTAATCAATCTTATTAAGGGTTAAGGTAATCATAAAATGACTGAACTTGATACAAGCAAATAATGCATTCCAGTTCTGCACTTAACATGAACTTTTGCTTGAAAGCCAAATACACAAATTCTTGTTTTTATTTATTCATATATCGATTCATTTTCGATGTACTCATCTGCAATTCACAGGTAACTGTAATCAGATCATTTGCTTTTGGGGAAACTGGACGCGAAAGAGTTTCAACGCCGAAACCAATTGTTATGTTGAGGTGAGAGTTAAAAATGAGTCAGGCGGCTTCAAGAAGATCAGACAGGCTGACAACTGCAATGGAATACCAACCCGGTGTAGAGATGACGAGAAAGAGGAGAGAGAAGACTGTAAGTGATAAAAGATGTTACTGATCATGGCAGTACAATAAGAACAGGACTGAACAACCCCATGTGCGAATGAATGATAACGACGATGTTAGCACTTGAATTAATTTTAATTGTCGAAACTGGAGTTCTTTTGCTTTCATATGGGTATGCTTTGATTTCCTCCGGGCAAGTCAAACATCACTCTGAAAATGCTTTGCCGGAGTCAGTGAGACGTTGAATAATTATATTTGAGATTTTCTTGATTCCCAGGTCAGAGCGGAGGACCTGGAGAAAAACCGACCACTCAAGCTCCAACTACTCTTCCTCCAACCACAGTAGCGCCAACTACTGCCGGCACAGGTAAGATGATATGTTCAGTTTTTATTGTTGGTCACATGAAGAAAGTCAGCATTACCGCACCTATCAATGACGTGCCAGCAAGTTATGAAGCTCAGAGCCAAACTTGCGATTTCATTTCAGTCATAATTTCCAAAACATTTCCTGTTTTGTAACAGTTGCGTTACTGTATGTGATTCGTTACTGAGAACTTCATGATATTGATAAGCTTCGAAAATCTTTTACGATGCGAAGTACCATGCATCATTTTCATAATTCCCAGCGTCTTATAGGTTATCAAAGAGCTTCCAGGAAAGAATTATGCTTAGATAGTAAATTTTCTTTTTCAGTCAAACCACCGACCTTTGTATACATTGGCTGTTTCAACGACAAAGGCAAGCAGCCTCGTCCGCTGCCGATGTTAATTGCAAATAAGAGGAAAGAAATTGATTGGTACAACCTTAGGAAGACGGTAGAAGCTTGTGCAACTGAGGCGAAGAAGAGCAGGTTATTTCAGTCTCTTTTTTAGGTGTCACTATGATCTTTTCGATGCCCCAAAAAGCTCATTTACACCTTATTTAATTTATTAGCTTCGCCGACAGGCAGGGACCCCGCAACAGCTTGCGCCAATTACTGCGGGCCTTAGTACCCACCTATCCCACCCCAGGGGAGGACATCCACCACACAGTAATCTCGTGCGTGGGAAATTAACGTCTCCTACCCCAACCCTGCAGGAGACGGGACCTACGGTTTATTCGTCCTTATCCCAGAAGACTAGAATGTTTATCCATTTCCTGATATTATAGAAAGGTAGCACATTCTCCTCAGTAATTTTAAGATCTGAGTGTTGGTCCAGCCGGGGCTCGAACCCTCGACCTCCCGCTCAACAGTCCGGCGCTCTATCCATTGAGTTAACCGGGAGGCGGTTAGCTCAATTTGAGTGGGGCTAACAATTGTTTGAGAATGTTGCATAATGGCCTTATTCTCCACGAAGGTTTGAGGAGCGATGTCTGTTATCTGGTAAAACAAAAGACTGTAAACTGTTTACATGGCAAGGTAGCCCTTAGGTAAATCTTAACGTTCGATCGGTTCTTACCTGATCAGAATAATTTTGTCATACGGACCGTTTTTACGGAAACGGTCTTAAGCAATGTATTTTTGTTCGTGAAAACTGGCTGACTCAAAAGAATCAAGTTTGGCCCGAGTACCATACAATAAACTACTTACTGACATCGTTGGCTTGAGCCATACCGAGAGATATTAGCCCTCGTGCGTTAGTTTAAGGAACTCGCTGCTCTTGGTAAGTACTGCCACGACCTCGCGCCGGTGTTCCCCAGTAGGGCCCTCACGATCGATTAGTAAGAGGTTAATATTGCATAGTTTCGAGAGCCTAAGACTGTAATACCCGCGGTTAGCGGGCAAACCGTACCCTTTTAGAAGCCAACGAAGGTCTCGTTAATTTTTTTCCTTGTAGATATGAATATTTCTCGGTGCAGTTCTATGCCGAGTGCTGGAGCGGAGAAAATGCAGGGAAAACGTTTGCAAAAGATGGACCGACTGATAAGTGTTATGAAGGGGTCGGCAAGAGAAAGGCAAATGCTGTTTACCGGATAGAGAACATCCCGCGTGAGTTATTAACCAGTAATGCAGTCTTCATTGAACCATTTGACGCTGCGAATTAAGTTCAAATATATCTAGAGCATATTTGAAAGCGCGAAAGTTTTTAGAAAATGTAGTGCGAGAAATTTGAAATTTGCATTCGTGAGATCAGGACGATATGGTTCCGCTTTATTCAGGGGCAGGTATTCGCAGTAGTTTTAGTAATAGCCATAATACAGTGTAGATCTAGCTCTGTGAAGAAGGATTGCACACTTTTCATGCCCAATCACCATACTGTAGTACTCCCCAATGGTTTTAGCAGTTAAAATTGCTCACGTCTTCCTTGAAAACCATAACGGTAACCCTTTCGAGGGTAATCTTCAATTCACTCATGAAATCACATGAAAAGTACTAATTTTGTAAAAAATCCTCTCGGGTTCAAAGGCTGCTGAAAACTTGTTCGTACGATAAACAGCATCATTCATATCATATTCACATAGACGAGGATATGGAGAATGTGTAGTTTGGTTCAAACAAGTTTTACGAGTGGTCTATAAATTCATCAGTTTAGGTTTCGTGTCTCAGACAATAGGTACGTCTTCTATACAGCAAGTTCATCATCACTTAAAAATGTTGCTACAACTTGCTTTTCTTTTCATCTCTCGTGACTTATTGTATGGTCTAGTTCCATCTCTCATTGGTAGAGGATTTTTGACGTATCAAAAATTCAAACAGCGCCACTTGAAATAAGGAGCTAGATTACTACAGAAAAGTACTTTGGTGGAAGGAATGAAAGAATTATAGAGCAGCATATTGCTTTGAATACTGGGCGTCGCTTTGGTGATGTTTTAGGATGATAGTAAGCATACCTTCAAATAACAACTGCAGAGCCACAAGCGTTTGATTTTATGTGTCATTTCCTCAGCCTGCTCTTCAGAGCTTAGTTTTAAAGCGCGAGCCAGCAGCGGGGAAGTGCAGAAAAATAACGCCTGGTGCGCTGGAAATTCTGAAAAGTTTCAGTGGATAACTGTGGAATTGGATGGTGAAAAGAAAATTTCAGGTACAGTAGATTTCAGTTTCAAAGAAATTTATCGACATTGTGATGGGTGCTCTTTGTTTCTAATGAAAGAAACTTCTACAAGTTGCCAGGAAGGTGGAACTTTTTTCTGAGATTAACTTTAAAACGTCCAACATGCTTGTTACTCTAGGTGTCGGCACTCAGGGTGCTGACCTTGACAACTGGGTCACGCTGTACACGGTTCAGTGGAGCGAGGATGGAGAAACATGGGTTACCTACCAAGAGGATGGTCAAGATAAGGTACTACAATATTTTCGACATTTTGATATCCCTTACGAAATTGTTTGCAATTTCTGTCCTTCGTCTCATTTATGAGCTAGACTTTCTGTCTGTCAGTCTGTCTTAATGTCTGTCTGTCGGTCGTTCTCTCACGCACAACTAATGTTAACCACCATCGCAGATCTTTACGGGAAATTCAGATCGATTCACTTTAGAGACACGCTGGCTGAAGGATCCAATCACAGCTGGTTTCCTGCGCTTCGTTCCAAAGTCATGGTCTTCGACGTACGTTTGCATGAAGATAAGGGTTTATGGCTGCAATGTGTAAAGTAAGTCGCTTGAGAGCAGACAGGAAAAAATATACCACGAATTGGATAACTAATTAAAAAGGGAAATAGTTACTGTGTTAGTTTCTCCAATGTAGATGTGTAAACAACTTGACATAACCGAAGCACCTTGGGTGATTCGGTGTGTGGGCCATAAGGGTGTTTACAGCGATGTCAGAGAGTCATAAACTTGTCACGGGCCATAAGGGAGTTTACAAACGATGTCAGAGAGTCAGTTTACGAGTCTGTATGGCGTAATCTTACGTTATAGTTCAATAACGTATACTTAAAGTGTATATATAATGCGGAAACATGCTTTGAAACTTGAAAATGTTGTTTCTTTTATCGCAATTATCGTTACTCTGCTGACTGTTTACAGAGTCATATTATTCCAGTCTATCACAGTGTGGTCTTAGAGTAAATTATGAGCCCAATTGTAAAGAGCCAGTGGCGGACCTAGGCCTAGGAGAGGGGCCGGGGGAAACCCCCCCCCCCTTGTTTTGGGTAAAAGAATTAAACGCAGGAGGAAGAAAAGTGGGCAGGTGTACGCACACATACAAGAAACGCCCCACCCCCTTACCTCAAGGTCTGAATCCACCACAAAGAATGCAGCAAAGCGTTTTCCAGCGTTATTTTGATGAAGTTAACACGTAAAGTAGAATTAGCCCTCTTTGATTCAACGTCCATCTTTTTGCAGAAACAAAAGCAAGGAATCAACCATACTATGTAGAAATAGAGCAGCAGCACCAACTTACCACACAGTGTTAACAAAATAGAATAAAGTGTGTCACCCTACACATAATCGTCTGTCAGTTCTGTTTTATTCTTTTACTTATTGGCCAAGTGACCAGCCGCACGGCGCAGCAATTTTCCCTTTCGTAAACGGTCGGTGCCATTTGAATCGGTCGTTGCCATTTCCGATAACAGTCGTTGCCATTCAATACAAAATGGCAACGACTGTTTCGACAAAATACCAACGACCGTTTCAAAATGGCAACGACCGTTTACGAAAGGGAAAACTGCCACGGCGCATCGAGTAGCAGCAGTCCTAAGAGTAAAATCTGATAATGGGCTGTAAAAAATAATAATAAATTGGAAAGGTTGTGGAGGAAAATGTTTATTCGTCTTGCCTCGAGCGAAGGGCAAAGCTTAGGGTGGAAAGAAAATTGAATGTTTCGTGCTCAGATGCTCTACCACTAAGCTGCAGAGACTCACGACCTTGTTCTCGAACATTTTTCAAATACTTACGAAGTGGCTGGAGCACTAAAAAAGTGTTAGGGAAATACGAGAGGTAGTCGAGTCCTTTCTTTTCTTCTTGACCATTGTACCTTTTCCGTGGAAGGGTGTTTCAGGCTATGGTGATTTACTAATTTACAATGACTAAATCAAAATAACTTTTTGACTCCCACGTGTAATCATTATTAAGATTCACCTCACAGATAAACCATAATGCTATCCAGACAGGGGTTGTTCCCTCCATAAAAAAGGGACAGCTTGTCCAGAGTGTCCTCTAAAAATGATCATTAGTAACGAGAGTTGGAGTGAGAGGGTTGAAAATATATCAATGATCATATATTGTTTCTGTCTACGTATGTCTCTACAATTACCTCGCGTGGAAACTGGTTTAATTACAGAACAGAATGACAACTAATTATGATAACTATAAAGCACGAAGGAAGGATAAGAGACTTTGATTGGGGGATTGAAAACTATAAAAGTTACTGGAAGGGGGAGTAAAAGCAAAAAAATGATTAAAAGTTATAAAAACAGTTATGAACAAAAAATTATTGCATCTCCCAAACTCTCGATCCCCACTAACTTTTCTAATGGTCCTTCCCTTCAGTGGACTAAGAGCAGTTTCAAATGCTTGCCTAGATAGTGTCTTCTTTAGCTTTTCTTTACTGAACAGGACACAATCCAGTCTAATAAGGAGAATGTCTAAAACAGTTCATTTCAATTCTCTCAAACCATTACACAATGGGAAGAATGAATTATATAGCGATAAAGATTAGTATAAAAGACCTTTCTAGGAGTGGGTTCCATACTAGCAGACAAGTGAACTTATACCTCATTCACACTAAGTAGTAGTGGCCCATCATACAAAGGCAATGAACCTGGCAGCCCTGCCATATCACGTGGCTTCATAACTTTTTCAATAAGCGGCTGCCGATAGTGTAATATGGTCCCCGGAAAAGCGGCCGTAAGGCGAGACCCAAACATAAAAGCCTGCTCGCAGGCTAAACAGACGGTGGTAAGGGCTCCAATAGGCGGCGTTAGACTGCTGGTAATTGCTTTTATCGAAACCCCTGCCCTGTATGCTAAACAGTTATGAGAAATCCCACTTGGAACGCAGGGTTACCTCGTGGTGGTAGGAAGCTTGAGAAAACATAAAAAATTAACTCAAATTTGATTAAAGACTTCCACGAGAGGCTTGAATGGTGCCCCACCTTCTCCTCAACGAAAGAAGTGAAGGCGGCGTCAAGTAAAATGTAGAAGCGTGTATAAGTTGTCTTCGCGGTTCCTGGTCTCAGATTGCACGTAAATAATATTACGTTGATTTGTTACAGAGAGTGGGAAGGAAATGTTCAAAAATTATTTTAAGAGCTAGGGCTAAAAACTCTCTCTCTCTCTCTCTCTCTCTCTCTCTCTCTCTCTCTCTCTCTCTCTCTCTCTCTCTCTCTCTCTCTCTCTCTCTCTCTCTCTCTCTAAAGAAACTGTGGTGCTGCGACGATGGGGGGAGGGGGTATTATTACAAGATGATTTAGTTCAATTAACTGAAATGATAATGTAGACTGGCTGTGGTGAAGAGTTTCTAACGCTGATGTTTCGAGCAATAGCATTTCGTTTGAGCGAATAGAGGAATTTTGGCTTGTGTATGGTTTATAAACAGAAAAATGGAGCTATGCTATTTGGTGGGAACATCTTTGCCGCGTTCTCATTTCCGCTGATGTCGTCACGCTTTGCCGTAAGGTCCCTAATGTTTAATTATGTTGGTGTCACTTAGTCGTCACTCAATTGTGACTCAATAAATAACTTATACCAGGCCACCTGCTTAACACTGAGATTTAAAGAGCCCAGGGCAATGTGTACTTCTCCAAGGAACAACTTACGACCAAATATTCCCTGCTTGCGCCAGACACTCACCTAGAGAAGACAGTTTGTGTAAGTAAATTGGTCGATAAAAAACATTTTGGAAAAATTGAAAAGACCGACTATATAAATGGAAGAACAAGTAGATGAACGCATGGCCAGATGATTGTGAAGTCGAACAAACGAGTAAGAGATGGAATAAATGAATACAAAAGTGGAATTGAGAGCTAAAGTTTGGAGGCTTGAAAGTAAGGATGGTTGGATGAATGCACGACAAAATGAACACCAACGAATGGGAGAATAGGAGGAGGAAAGATCGAAAATATGAAAGGATGAAAGGGTGAATCAGAATACTAGCCAACAGACAAATGGAAAAGCAGATGAAAAATGGACACATGAACGAATAGATAAAAGAGTGAAGAATGGATGGATGGAACGGCATACAAACAGCAGTAATAGACGAATTGTTAAGAATAGTCATTTAGCTCAGAAGGTGTCGATAAGACGTTCCAGTGTAGATATGAGAGCTTACCAATAATTCTCTGTTATGGATTTCGCACCCAGGATATTTGATTTTACAGTTGTACACTGGGTTAACGGATTGGCGAGTCATGGAAGTTTCTCTCTTAAAAAGTCGGACTTAGTCCTTGACTAAATACGTCTTCACGTACGTATCTGTGTAGAAGTATAACCAAAGGATTCTATGTCAATGAAGCATTCTATCATTCCTTCCGTTGGTTCGGCTTAACTAAGCAAGAAGTTAAAACGTATTTAAATGGAAAG